ATACTGATGATTCAACCAATATATTCATACCGTAAATGTAATCTTTGGATCCATATATGTCCTAAACAACCCATATGAAAAAAAATATATATATATAGAAAAAACAAAACTCATAATATCACAGTACTTTAAAAGAGTGTTTTGTAAGAATTAGATAGTAAGAAGAAACGCCAAACCATATTCATCTCCATGTGATTGAGCAATATCCTCTTCTGAATTCTCTCTACTATTTTCCTTTGAACCAAAAATCTTTGGAATAACAGAACTCAATATTCCATGAATTTAATTCACCCAAAAAGGGGGCAAAAATCAATGAATACCATAAAATTAATTAAGAAAAATGGTACAAATAATAATGAAAAATAAAAAATACCATCTTTTTCTTTTTACCTTTGACAGAATTTTCCCGCGTACTTGGGGGACTACTGCTTCCGGTTGCCTTTGTCATCAGAACCTTTTCATCAGGCCGACAACATTCATTCATTCATTCATCCATCCTCTAAAAACTTAAAATATATACTTTCATAACCTCATAAATACAGTCTTTGTTTTGATTTCCAAAGTCTAATATTTGCATATCATTGTACAGAATGTAAACTGTCAAGATTCTTGATATCTTGTGCACATAAATTTCTGTGTTTTAGTGTTTGACTTTTTTTGTTTTTTGTTTTTCTTTTTGTATAGTATTTCCTTAATATTTGCCAATTTAGGAACGATTTTTCTCTTTCTTGAAATATCGTGGTAAATTGCTGTTTTGAAATTCTTCAATGTGATCAGAACTTGCAGTCGCCAGTCTTGCCGCCAAACCTTTAGGGAGAATTAAGGATGTTTTGTTTAGTGGTTGATACACGGTTCAATATTGGCTGGCCCCTCTTAATTTGCCACCAAACCTTTTGGGGGAATTAAGGGTGTTTTGTTTAGTGGTTGGTACACGGTTGAATATTTGCTGGCCCCTCTTAATTTGAAAAGTGCTACATATTAAGCAAGTTGTAAAGTAACTTGTACAGTCCTTTAACATATGAAGGACAGGGTTCGTCATTAAAATAATTGTGGGGCACCACACATGTGAGAGGGTTGTAATTTTTATAGCTTTCAAGTGCTGTACAAGTATATTTTTCCTCTTAATTTTATCTTTTTCCATCACCTTTGTGAGTAACAACATTTTACTCCGTACTTTTTATACAGATGACAGATGTGGGAAATTGGTTATTTAATATGTCAATTTGACTAACTTTTGATCAATTATTTGAGTGAAGCACTAGGGTTTTTTTCTTTACCGAATGTGTTCGAGTATCAATTTCAGTGAATAAAAGATTTATGGCAAAATATACCACTTGAACTTGTAATGGTTGGAAAATTAGAAGCATATGTTCACTTTAAATAGCTCAAATTTGACACTTGGATTTGGATACTAAAGGCATACTTGAGAGTTTTAGCGTGAATAAAGTATCAATTTTATACGTTTATGGGTGGATCGATTTTGAATAATATTAGTAGCAATTTTTTAAACTCCCCAACTTATATTTGGAAGTTTGGAAGTTTATTATCCACTAGTTCTAAAAGTTTTCAAATAGGATAAATTATACATGTGTCCCTTAGTAAAATTTTCAATTAATAGTTTTTCATATGGAATTTTTTTACTCATAAGTGATATTTTACTTATAGATAATTTTTTTTTTAAATATAAGTTAATATTTACTTTAAAAATTAAATAAAGTTAAATATTTACTTAAAATTTTAAGTTCATATTTTTCACTTTTAAGTAAAATTTAAAATTATAAGTAAATTTTATACTTTTAAATGAATTTTTTAATTATAAGTAACTTTTTATATTTTATAAGTAAAATTTTGTCTTATTAGTATTATTTTTATTTTATAAACAATTTTATTTTATTTATTTATTATTAATTTTTTTTTTATGAAAATGTGACTTTTTTTGTATAAGTAATTTTTAATTATAATGATTTTTTTTATTTTATAAGTAATATTTTACTTATAAGTATTTATTAATTATAATTTAATTTTTGCCTTTAAATAATTTTTTAGGTAATATATTTTTATTTACAAATTAGATTTGAAGAAAACATGTTAGTTTATTTTATAAAAGGTAGAATTAGAACTGAATATGAGAAACAGTCAAAATTCGTTGGTTTAGTTAGTTAAAATAACTAGTCAAAATTGCACAACACCATTTTGGATGGTTTTTAAACCATCCAAAATCAATGTTCAAAAATGCTAACAACCACTAATTTTCCAACCTCTCATAAACGATGCCATCCTAAATCGATCAAAATCAATGAAAAAAATTTGTACCAATATTTTTTTGGAATGAAGAGATCTACATGCTCGTGGGTTGGGACAAAGCCCACATGCACACGGTATGAGCTCGTGGGTCCTGGGTTTGGCTCAAGATGGTATGTATTCTTGGGCAACTTACAGAAGTACCCTTAAAATTTGGGATCTTTTGAAAAATCATATGAAAAATATATTGAAAGTAAAAAATACTATGCAAAATTAAGTGTTACTTTTTAATATTTTTAATAAAAAAATGATACAATCGCTTTTTAAAGTTAAGTGTCACTTTTTTTAAAATTAAAAAACGACATACAGTGTCACATTTATTAAAAAACGACGTTTGTCATTCAAAAAAGTGACGGAAAATTCAAGAAAATGCTAATAAAAAAAGTGATACACTAAAAATGTGATAGAAATTCAAAAAAATAAAAAAAAATAAAAAAAGAGTGGCTACCTAAAAAAGGTGACAAAAATTCAAAAAAGTGACAAAAATTAAAAAAATGTGACAAAACACCAATTAGAACATTTGAAATCACTTTCAATAAATTGACAAAAAAAAAAGAAAAAAGAATAGAAAAAGGAAGTGACACAACCATTGTCCCTACTCTTTCTCTATTCATCGCCAAATATCTTTAAGTTAGTTTATTGATAAAACACCAATCAAAATGTCAAGCATCTTTAAGTCAATTCACCGCCACCATTTTCTACCAACTCACCCAATCCATTAATCATATAAAAAGTTTACTGGAATTTAAAAAATACTTTATATAGTCAAAAGTTACTTTTTTATTTATTAAATAGTGATGCTACACCAATAGGGTTTCAAAACAGGTTTTAAAACCAGACGCCACGTGACGAGCATCGGTTGCACTGTTTAAAAAATAAATAAATAAATAAAATCGGACCATACCGGGACTGACACCTCACACCTGGTTTCAAACCCTGTTTGAGTATATTATTGTTTATCAAAAAATGATGTTTCAAAAAAGTGACACAAAAATATATTGGAAAACAAGAAAGATAGCAACAAGTCTTTGCTTAGCCATTTGCTCCGCCTCCTGATGTTAGGCCAAAAACCAAACGAAGTCCTGCGTTAATTGTTAGTACATTTCAAATGACTTGTATATACACTCCACAATAATTCACAAAAAAAGTTTTAAACCCTGTTTGAGTATATTATTGTTTATCAAAAAATGATGTTTCAAAAAAGTGACACAAAAATATATTGGAAAACAAGAAAGATAGCAACAAGTCTTTGCTTAGCCATTTGCTCCGCCTCCTGATGTTAGGCCAAAAACCAAACGAAGTCCTGCGTTAATTGTTAGTACATTTCAAATGACTTGTATATACACTCCACAATAATTCACAAAAAAACAAAAACGATAGATCATTACCCATCATCCATCCATAACAACACCTCCTCTACTAACCTATCCATGATCAGCTATGGACAAACCTTTGTGCCATAACCAAGGTGAAAAAAGTGCTATAAGCAATGGATGTCTTTTTAAATAAACGGCCCA